TAGCTATGTAAATAAAATTAACAGCAGATGAGTGAGACTTAGATGCTAAAGGCTAGCTGTTTGAGGATTATTCATAGGTCCTTTGAGGATCTTAATTAATAACTAAAAGGGTTAGTAATTACCATTTCCTAAAGCATTATCAAATCCCTTCTTAAAATAAGTTACACATATACGGATATATATATTATATATCAAATCTGATTCTTGGACTTTGGATTTACTTTTCTGTTTTGATATTGTTGGAACAATAACATATAGTGATCGATGCTTATTAATTTTCCACCCGCGTAGGTGATAAAGCTGAATGGTCCGTATCTTTTTTATTAATTGTTTTGAATATTTGAATTTTTCATCTTGAGAAAAAAAATTAAAAAGAAGAATTTTCACTAGAAATTTTATAGACAATTTTTCTAAAAATGAAATACTTAAAAAGAAAAATATATTAAATCTCAACAATTTATATTTGTTTTGGATTCTGGTGATCAAATTTGCTGCCAAAATACAGTTTCTTTATTCTTTTTTGTAAAACGCTGAAAGAGACCAATTCCTTGATTTAAAAACAAAAGAAAAAAGACATCTAGAAGTTATGTTTGATGGATTCTCTTTCAAAGAAATATCGCACACTGAGAGAAGAATTATATATTTTTTTTCTTCATAAGGTTCTAAGTATTAATTTTGTTTCCAGCTATCTATGTATTAAAAACTATCAAATAGTTTGGAAAAAAGAGAGCATTTTCTTGACACCAAGGGTCCATTTATTTAATCATATTTTATAAAAAAGCCTCTCATTTTCTTAAAAAAATATATTTTATAACTTTTTATGATATTTTTTTAAATTTTTTAAAATAATCAAAATATGAGAAAGAGTATAGTTTTAATTATTTCAAGAAGTTATTTTGAATAGCTTGAAATTACTTATTAAAGTAGCTAATGAAAATAACTTAATGTAATAAATGATAGAGGGTGTTTTAAATACACAAGAGATGTAAATATATCATAAAATTTTAAAATAATAGAATAATAAATCATTTTTATAAAAAAATAATTAAAGAAGATATTATAAAATTTAAAAATGATATCATAAAACAAATATTAAATAATGTTTACTTTTTATAGAGGAAAAATATAATTTTAAATTCCTACATTTTGCTCTTGGTTTGCTATTAATCCTCGCACTTTTTTCAATGTCCTAGCTTCCTACACTTTTATTTTTTTAGTATTTTAGGTCCCTTCATGAACAAATATAAAGATCTTGGAGAGATCTAGAATATCAAAAAATAAAAGTGCAGGACCTAAAACATAAATAAAAAAATACAGAGACTAATAGTAAAATATAAATAAAGTATAAAGACTAAAAGTTATATTTTTTTTCTTTTATAAAATATCTACAAAATAAATTTATTTTTATAAAATTTCTAAACTATTTAAAAATTATTTATTTTTAATTTTAAACAAACAGATCCTAAATCTCTTTTGAAGACTAAAGCCATTTTGTGAGAAAAGTTTAGACATTCGTTTCGTTGCTGACATGTCGCTACAAAATTATTCATATATGCCAGCCGATCGAATAGATGGATCCACGTTGAACCGATTTCAAAAATAGTTAAACTAATTATCACCGTAACACAGCTACAGAACTTTTTGGTATATTTGAAGGTCTTATTTTTTGTTGGAGAAGCAATTTCAAGCAAGTTAGTGTTCACTCTTATTCATTAGAAGCTCTGGCGCTTATCCAATTTGAATACAATTCGAATCATCCTCTCAGTTCCACAATAGAAGAAATTAGATGCCTTACCATAAAGGATTGGGTTATCACCTTCAACCATGTATTTAGAGAATCCAACAAATGTGCAGATTGGTTTGCTCGACATGTCACAAGCAATAATTCTAATTCTTTAATTTTTGACACTTCCCCCCAAGATGTCGTCCTTTTATGGGACTTGACTTGACTTATAATTCCTTTCCTTTTCACGGCTTGCCGTGGCCTTGTAATTCAAAAAAAATAGTTAAACTGGGAAAATATCAAACTAATAAAAAATACTCTTTTAATTAAAAATATAAGTAATTTTTGGAGAAAAAAATTACATATTAACAAAGTTCTCATTCCCATAAAAATATATATTGTTTTTCTTTTGATCTTTGGTATTAATTACCTTTGTGATGAGTAAGAGATACATTTATATAAATATAGGTTAAAAAATTTAAGGGGTAAAATGAATTTTTTTTTATACATATAGGCTGCTTATATTTTGAACCCAAATTAACTAAAAAAATATATTTATATTTTGAGCCAAGGAGAGTATGTATATTGGCCAATCAACAAAGATTGTTCAAAATTATAAAATCTTTATTGTATTAGGCCCTTAACAGCCAATGTAAAAATTTGTTGAATCTTACGTGAATATGAACGATAGACGTTTTTGTGCTAAAGATAGGTCATTGCCAATAAGTGACAAGTGAGCAAGAGCCACTACATCAATGCCTAGATGTAGTGTTAAATAAGTAAGAGCTATCACATTATTATGGACTAACACAGCAAAAGAAGCAAGTCTATGTGAGCAAGATCAGATTTGATACCTAGATTTAGTAACTTGTGAAGAACAATATTTGTCATTTTATCAAAGAATACACGATACTTAGATAAAGGAAGCTATTAAGAAAATAATAAATGATAAAGTCAATGGACCTGATTGTATCCTTATTGAAGTGTAGAAATATTTATATGAAGAAGGGATATGATGGCTAATTAAGTTATTTAATGAGATTTTACAGTTCAATAAAATGCTTGATGATTGGAGGAAAATCACTTTAGTTCCTATTTTAAAAAAATAAAGGAGATATTTAAAATTGTGCTAAATATAGAGAGATTAAATTTATGAGTCATACAATAAATTATAGGAAATAGTGATCAAACATAGATTGATATTGAAAACTGATATTTTTGAGAATCAGTTTAGCCTTATGCCGGGTGGGCGACTATAGAAGCAATCTATCTACTAAGAGAATTAATGGAGAAGTATCAATGCAAAGGTAAAAATTTACACATGATTTTTATAGATTTGGAAAAAACTTATTACCATGTATCAAGAGAAGTATTTTGAAAAGCCTTGAAAAAGAACAGAGTTTGGATTGTCTATATTAGAGCTATATAATATATATATATATATATATATGAGGGAGCAACAACTAGTATAAAAACATCTAGTAGTAAAATAAAGGACTTTTTTGTAAGGATTAGGTTACATTAGGAATCATTTTTGACTCTTTATTTGTTTGATTTGATCCTAAATATTTTGACTAAGCATATTCAAGAAGAAAGCCCCACATACATGCTTTTTGTGGATTATAAAATTCTTATTGTGGAGACAAAGGAATAAATTAATTATGAACTTGAGTTTTAAAGGAAGATATTATAGTCAAAATGTTTTCGCCTTAGTAAGAGTAAGACGAAATATTTCATTATAATTTTAATAAGAGATCAATCAGTAATAATTTGAAAGTGAAATTGGAGATTAAATTATATCTCAAATAAAAACGTTTAGATATTTGGAAGCTATTATTCAATATAATGAAAAATTGATGGGGATGTTGCACAGAAAATACAAGTTTGGTGGTAATTAGAAAAAGGCTAAAGGAATTATTTGTGATTATAAGGTACCTAATAAATTTAAAAAATTTTTTATTAAATTGTTATAAAACAGCTGTGTTATATGGTATAGTGAATATTGTGTTTTAACAAGACAACAAAGGCATAAAGTTGGAGTAATAGATATAAAAATGTTGAGATAAATGAGCAGGCATACACTTAAAATTTGAAATGAGCACAAACGAAAAAAAAGTAAAAGTAGCACTTATTGAGGGAAAAATGGTAAAAATTATTTGATATGGTTCGAACATGTATAAAGAAGATCATGAAAGGAACATATGAAAAGAGTGAAACAAATAATTTTGAGCCCTGTCAAGAGAAATAGAGAAAAGCTAAAGAGAACATTTATAAAAGTTGTTGATTGAAACATCTTAGTTGATAACATTCCTAAAAGCTTAGCATATGATAGAATATAATAGTATCGTACAATATATATTGATAATCGCACTTAATAAAATAAGACTTAATTGTTATTGTTATTGTTGCCCTTGGCCATTGTAATGTGTTGCCTAGTTGAACCAATTGTATATTTTTATTTTTTTTAAAATTTAATTTATATTTTTATGTTATGATTTATGTATACCTATACTAGTTAGTATTGGGAATTAAAGAATAATAAGCAATTAGGAAAAAATATTTTGACTCTTATAAATTATAAACAGAAAAGATAATTTTATTCCTTGAATTTTTTTTAATTAAATCAATTTAATCCTAAACTTTGAATCTAGACAATCAGTTTTTATAATTTCTTGACTCAAAACAACCTAACTCTTATAGGTTTTTTGATTTGCTATAACTCAATCCCTATTTTTTGTTAACTTAGCAAAATATTTATGAGTATTAGGACAATTAATTCTTTAATCCCTGAAAGTTAACATCAGTTTTAAAATAGATGGTCATAGTTTATAGATTTTTAAACTACTTTTGATTTTTTTTTTAAATCTTTAAAGGAATTAGTTTCTTACATCTTAGTCTCATGTTTGCATGGTAAAATTATAAATGGGCAAGCATCTTGTTACTAATATAAGGATTTTATTGATAGATAATTTATAAGTATTTTTGTAATTGTTAGTATTCTTTGGGTTTAGAAGCATATTTGGACCTTAATGAGCCTAGACCCAACTTACATGAATTTTTTTTTTCCATAAAAAAAAAAGTTAAATAGGCAACTGTAACGTGGTACTCTGTGCTTTGCTTAAAAAAAAAAAAAAAAAAAGCTCCGTTCTTTGGAGACTAAAAACAGAGACCAAGCGAGAATTTTGATGTCAGTCAAAGAAGGTATAGCGTTAGCAGACGTGCATTACAACACCCTTTACCGGCATTAGTATATCGGATCAACTTTGAAGCATGCATATGAATTGCTATACAGTTTTATTGGCATACTGTATATATCGTACAGAGTCAAACCAAAATAAAACAGAACTATGTAAGCAGATCTGTGTGTCAGTGTGTGTATAGACTATAGATCAGCACAACTTGCAAGGATTGTCGAGAAGAAACATGCAGCGAGACGAGGCCTTATTCTTAATTCACTCCCACAAGACATCATTCAACACAGAACCAATTAGAGAGAGCCACCGCCACCGCTAACGGCTCATGCCACCTTCCACCGCCGGAGCTGTCATAACACCGGCACTCTGCATTTCCACATTTCCTTGCCATCCTATAAAATATACATAAACCCAAATATATCAAACCACAAAAATAGATATCTCCGAATAATGTAATTATTGTTAAGAAAGATTTACAGGTTACCAACAGACATGCTGAATCCACGAGCTTTGAGCTCACGATACTCCTGACAGAGGGACATGTGGGGGCAGAAGCAACTGACTAAGCAGTCACAAGCTTCGTTGCCTTCAATATTATATACATTCCTGATCTTCGGTCGGTAAATGCAAGCGTAACATGACACACATTGTGTGAAACCCCCCAGTATGTAGAATATTATTCCCTGCACGCAACAACCTGCCACCATATATTTGCAAAATAACCATAATTAGCCCTCCAAATTATTATTCATTATAATTATATCCTTGATGTCAAAGCAAAACGACGTCGTTTATTAAAAGAGGAAGAAACCAAGACTCACTGGTTGTTCCTCTATCAACGATCTCTGCTATTCTTCCGAAAGTGACACGCGCGCACCAGATCGTGAGGCAACCTACTCATTACAACTTATAAGCACCAGCAATAGTAATAATATATAACTAAATAACGTATTTATTAGCCCATTAATCATGTTTATGTATATGACGTGGATATATGAAGAAGAAGATGAACAGAACTCACAAGTGCCACAATCGGAGCAGCAACCGCAAAAGCCGAAGGACCAGGAAGAATTGGCTGACATATTTTGACAGAATTAATTAAGCTGGTTTGAGTTTCTTTGATCAGCTGAATCCTTCGGAAAGAGAGGTTAACTAAAAATCTTGTCGTTTCTGTGCCAAATATTCAACATTAACAAAACATGTTATCACAATGTCTGCACAACGTACGTTAACATTATCTCTTCGAATATTCACAACTTCCTAATCAGGTATTTACAGCTGTCAATTCATATTTCACATAGATATTCACGTATCCACCGCTTCTCATTAGCAAAACTTGATCTTTAATATTTACATAACATTGGGCATCTTATTCGGACGTATTTTAACACTGCACAAACCATTAAATCATGAAAACCATCCCAACAAAAATAGCATTCACATTGCCAAATCACCGGGACGAATCCAGAAATTATCATGTGTCGGGGACACTACTGAAATTTTATCTAATATTAAATTCTTCAATGCAAATCACAACATCTTTATTTCAGGTATCACGCATTCAAGCAATAAAACAGAGATCGAAGCATAAACCATCAAGCATTAACCTCTGTTTCGGAAACACTTTCTCCGATTTCACGTGCCTATAACCATCCACAACCACAAACTCACAGAAAAAAGAAACTCATTCTCTCCCCAAAAAAAAAAAAAAAAAATTGCACCCGCGACAACAAACAGAGATTGAAGAAAGAGCACGAAAGACAGAGAAAGAATGGAAAATTGACCACGTACTTACTAGTGGTGCGGGAAGAAGCTTCGACTTCGGTGAACAACAAGGAGCAGCGTTGACCACGTATCAAAGGGAGAGCCCTTCTTCAATTCGTTTTGGGCAGAAAATGACGTGTGATCTTTGCTTTAATTCGAGAAGGCATTTTTGTCATGTGAAAAAAATATTGGGGTACTATTGTCTTTTCACATCTGGGACAAATTACAATAAAATTCTAAAAAAAATTAATTGTATTTTTGCAGATTCACAGTGTTTATTTATAAATAAATCAATTAGTTGGGACTTGTTCTTAATTTTCTTTTTTTTAATTTTTATTCTCTTCCCTAATTATTGTTTACTTGAACTTATTTCCTTATATATAAACACATTTTTATTCATGTTTATTCAAATATTTCTATCCTACTTTTTTTTAAAAAATTAGTTTTAGTTTTCCTTTAGAAATATATGCTATAATTATATCTTAAAAAAGGAAATAATGATTTTAAAACCCAAAAAATAAGAATTCAATTTATACTACTCAATAACATTTAATATATTAATTTAATTGATCACAACTAGTTCGATCACCGTCTAGCTCAATCTAATCATTCAACTATGAAATAGTGTCTCAACAGTTTCATTTATTTAGTTGATCTCATTTTTAAGAACGTTTCTAGTAAGTGCTTCTCTTGATTCAAAATATACGTATTTTTTCATTTTACCCTTTCATTTATTTATCTAGATCTTTGCATAAATTTATCTTTCACTCATCATGGAGTGTGTTAATATTGAATTAAAGATAAAAAATAATATATACTTTTTATAAGAACGTTTTTAAAAAACTATTTTTATTTTGAACCAAATGAAGTATTAAAAAAATAAAAAAGGTAAATAGCCCAAAAAATATTTTGCATCTTATAATTATTTATTTTTAAAATTATAAAATATTTATTTATTTATTTATTTTAGATTAAAAGACAAATATTATAATGAACGCAAAAGTACAACTAAGCAAAATAAAAGAAAAAAAGGAAAAAGTCAACACCCTCATCATCAGTTTCCAAACAAAACAGGAGGTGAGATTTGAAAAAGAGAACCAGAAATAGACCAATTCATGAACCAAGAAAAAAGATTATAAAATATTTATTAATAAGAGAGACAATTAATCATATAATCTTATAATTTACATCAATTTTTATTTTTATTTTTATTATTATTATTATTTGGTGGAGTGGAGTGTTTTGCACTCGACTTTGACTATACAAGTGCCCGAGTCGTGATAGAATAAATTTGCAGCGGTAACATGGTACTCTGTTCTTTTGGGACTGAAAACACAGAATGAGCAAGAATTTCTATAGCGGCCAAATAAGGTATAGCTTCAGCACACCTTGTATCAACTTCGAACTTTGAAGCATAGGTATTGCTAATGCAGTTTCTTGGCATCATTCTGTTATCCTTAAAGCACATCAAAATAGAGTACAATATCTGGCCAAAAAAAAAAACATAGAGTACAATAAAGGATTCAGATTTACTAAGGGTCCAAAATATTGAGAGAGAGAGAGAGAGAGAGAGAGTAGATATCATTGATTCAATGGAGCTGAACATGTTGGAACAAGATACGAACTAAAATAAAACAGAACATATATGTGTGTAAAATGAAAATAGATTCTATACAGAGGAGAAAGATGAAGCCAGACAAGGCCTTTTTCTTAATTCATCCACCAACAGTACTGAAGACATATTGATCACTCCCATAGGAACCCATCGTTGAACACACACATACAAGCAACACAAAAACACAAACACATGTACGAACAAAGAACCAATCAGAGAAAGCGATGGCCACCGCTAACGGCTCATGCCACCTTCCACCGCCGGAGCAACCGTCTTGACACCGGCGGTCTGCATTTCCACATTTCCTTGCCAGCCTACAAATATAAAAATAAACCCAAATATATATGTCAAACCACAAAAATAGATTCCGAATCTATCAATCAGAAAAACAAAACACACACACACACACAGAAAAGTTTACCGGCAGACATGTCGAATCCGCGACCTTTGAGCTCACGATAATCTTGACAAAGGGCCATGTGGGGGCAGAAAACAACTCTGTAAACAGTCACAAGCTTCGTGCCTTTAATTTTGTACAGATGCCTCAGTTTTGTTCGGTAAATGCAAGCGTAGCATGACAGAAAAGTGTGGTGAAACCCCAAGTAGGTCGAATATTGTTCCTTGCACACAACAACCCTGCCAAATTACTAATAATTATCACTCATCATACACAAAGCATCTAATGAACTTCAAGTTTACTGTCTTCTCCAGCAAAACGACGTCGTTTTTCTGCTCTGCTTGTGATTGTCAGTACGGCGCTGACCTCCGAACCCACTCAGAGTCGTCCTCAAACTAGCTAGGCATCGAGCATACGGCCAAAAAACAAAAACAAAGACAAAAAACAGATGAAAATATGATATTGATAAAAGAGAAGAAGACAACCAAGACTCACTGGTTGTTCATCGAAACGATCTCTGCGATCCTTCCGAAAGTGATACAGGGCACCACAACGTGAGGCAACCTACTCATAAGCACCAGCAATAATAATTAATAAAACATAATATAACTAAATAACGTATTAATTAGGCCATTAATCATGTTTATGTATATGACGTGGATATAAGAAGAAGATGAACAGGGCTCACAAGTGCCGCAATCGGAGCAGCAACCCATAAGCCGGAGGAACCAGGAAGAATAAATAGTGGCTGACATGTTTGGAGAGAATTAAGGTGGTTTGAGTTTTCTGTGACGATGATCAGCCGAATTCTGCTGAAAGAGAGTGGCCGGTGAAAGCTTGTTTAAATTAGCTATTTTGATAAAACGACGAAACATCAGCTT